AAGCCTCCTGGGTTCAGGCAATTCTCCTGCCTCAGCCTCCTGAGTAGCTGGGATTACAGGCTCGCACCACCATGCCCAGCTAATTTTTTGTATTTTTAGTAGAGACGGGGTTTCACCATGTTGACCAGGATGGTCTCGATCTCTTGACCTCGTGATCCACCCGCCTCGGCCTCCCAAAGTGCTGGGATTACAGGCTTGAGCCACCGCGCCCGGCCCATGATTTCAAATTTTAAGCGAAGGGTTTTCAAGTCTTGGTATTAAGGGTAAAAGACCGTGGGACCCCCAGGTTTCTTACTGTAGCAGCGGGCTTGTGACATTGGTGCTTTTCCTCAATGACCTCTGACATCAGGCCCGGCTCCACTGTTCACAGCTCTTCACCTGCTCTTCGGATCTCCCAGCTGAATGGGCAAAGCAGCCCCTTGGCATGACTCCTTGTATAACCAATTTTACAGTAAAACCAATGCAATTTATTTCTCTCAGCCCTTTTATGCACAACCCAAAACGACAGTACTTTACAATGAGAGGGAATATTTAGAATGGCAATTCTGAGGCTCTTCAAGGTACCATTATTTTCCTATTCAATGGCCCTGGAAACATTTCCCCCAACAGCATTAGTGCTGAGAGCAGCTAATCTTGGATTCCAGTTTCAGGTTTTCTACTTACCATAAGTGACGGAACCTTAGACAAACTACTTCATCTCTTAAAGTTTCAATTAAACAATTATATAATTTAGCAGTGTGTGTGTGTGTATTCACAGTTGTGCACCTATCGTCGCTATATAATTCCAGAACATTCTTCTCTCCCCAGTTGCTTTCAGTCTCACCAGTGTCTGGCAACCACTAATCTGCTTTCTGTCTCAATGGATTTGCCTATTCCACAATTTTTTTTTTTTTTTTTGAGACAGTCTCGCTCTGTCGCCCAGGATGGAGTACAGTGGTGGGATATTTGCTCACTGCAAACTCTGTCCCCTGGGTTCAAGCAACTCTTCTCCCTCACCCTCCTGAGTAGTTGGGATTACAGGTGCCTGCCTCCACGCCCAGCTAATTTTTCTATTTTTAGTAGAGATGGGGTCTCAGCATGTTGGCCAGGCTGGTCTCAAATGCCTGA